CTGTAGTGTGTTTAGTGGTGAGAAGAAGAACCTACCTCTCAATGTACCAATATAATATGTTCTATTTTCCAACAAAACATTTGTTTGTTCAAGACTTGTATAATAGTTATCAGCAATAATTGTTCGTCCTGAATTGAGTAGGTCCTTTGAGAGGTTAATGACAAGGTTAGTTAATACAGAAGCGTTGCCTTACTTTTTTTCCTTTTCAGCATATATTCGTAGAATCTAAGTGTACCCATTGCCACCGCATAATTTAAAAAGTTTTACTCCGTATTTGTGCGTTTTCTCATAATATATTGTTTGAATATCAATCGTTCTCGATATTGAACGATAGACTTATCTATACAAAATGATCAACCTGAAATATAAACCTTTTGAAAATTTTTCTACTAGTGACTGCACTTTAAATAAACGATCTCCTTCTGGGCAACTTTCACTATCTAAGAAGTGTCACATTCTAAGAAGCAGCTAAAATCTATTTCCGAACATGGTTTTTGATATAATAACATTTTTATATAAATCGTCGTTGCTCCAATACGTTTGAAAAGAAATCATTTTTACTAGACCCATGTAAGCTAGTACACCAATAAATATATTCATTTCTTTTTGTCGCTTGAAACCTATCTGTCATTTTGAATAATTGGTTAAATCGTTAAAATCACACAATATTTGAGTTGCATATAAGTTTGTTTGATTAACAATCTCGTCAATAATTTCATCATCAACGAAAGTACTAAAACTCTTATAAGGCAATAAATCATTTATAAATATTGTTGTGGTAATGGACAATGCCTCATATCACAGCTAGTATTGCCCAAAATCGGTCTTAGTCTTGCAGTCTTGGTCTTGTTCTTGCGTTTTGGCAAGACCGAGACCAAGACCAAGACTGCCTATTTTTTGCAAGACCAAGACCAAGACTAACCGTGCCAGACTTGAGCAAGAACAAGACTAAGTCTGCGAGACTCTTGCGTCTTGCAGTTAGAACTGAGTGTGGTTTAAAGGAGTATAATAGTTCGGGTTTATGCTTAGAGACTCTATAAGAGGCAAAGAAGTATTACCAAAAATTTGGAAAATTTGACTTAGGCATTACGAAAAATACCAAAATCATACATAGCGAATCAAAATATTTATTACAAGAACACATAAAAAATTGACACGTACTCAGAGGTCATAATTATAACCTAAAAATAAAATATTTTGTACATTCTTTCCTAGCACACTACTTCAGGAGCTTGGAGGAGTAAGGGCGAATTCGAAAAATGGTCATTTTAAAAACAGTCTCATTTTGCTCACATAGTATTAAAGAATACGTCTGTATCATTATAACACCATGTTTCGCCCTTCATACACCCAAAATTCTGTAGGAAATAAGATAGCAACCAATTCATGTCAGAAACTGAACTGCATAATCGTATAGAAGAGGAAAGGCGAACCCAAAAGCTATCGTTACGTTTCTGTTCCAAGTTTCGCCCCTACTCCTCTATAACCCTGTTAGTGTTTCTGTAGCTTTAGTTGGTGAGACATTTTTGCGTTATATGCAGATGTATGCGTTTTTCTTGAGTTTTCTGTACGATCGTATGCTTGTAGTTTTTATTATTCGTATTTTAAGGAAAAACCGAGGTTACATTAGCGTTAAAGTTGTACTGTATTTTCCGATTCATTTTCAAAATCAACGCCGAGAACACGACAATGCGGAAGCAAAAGAACACGGAACAATGGGTTGTTAACGTGTGTAAACCCAAACGAAATTGTGGTGAAGTGTACATTTCGAGAAATACAAACAGACCTGTATCTGCGCGCACAATCGGACCACCATGTAAGTGTCGTAAAACGTGTTTTGAAAAGTTGGGCATGAACAATATCAATATGATTTTCAATAATTTTTGGCAACTGGGCATCTATGATAATCATAACCAATACCTTTCAAAAGTGTTAAGTTTCAGTGATTGTAAAAAGTCTTTAATTACTGACAGAGCTAGTAGAAAGCTTCGGACCATAGAGTACAGTGTTTCAATAAATGGAGAAAGAAAATGTGTTTGTCGTCAGGCTTTTATTAGCATCCATGGCATAAGTGAAAAAAGAGTTCGCGTTGTTTTAGACAAGTAGACCACCACAGGAATTGTGCTGAGTGACAACAGAGGGAAGCTATGCCCAGGAAATAAAATGGTTGGATATAGAAAGCAGTTGATCAGAGATCACATTGATTCTCTTGTTACTGTTTCCAGTCACTATAACAGAGCCAAAAGTCCTTTTCGAAAATATATGCCACCGGGTTCATCAATTACTGGGGCATATGGAGCTTATATGGAATGGCTAAGAAACATATATCCTGAAGAACAGCCTGTGATAGAGTCCTACTACCAATATATTTTTGTCAATGAATTCAATATAGGTGTTCAGCCTCCTTCTGTTGATGAATGTAATACCTGCTCTAAGACTAAAATTGAAATTAATGGGTTAAAGACTAGTAACCCGAATTCTCCCCGAATAACTGAATTGGATACGAAACTGAAGGTTCATTTAGCAAAGCATAAAGCTGCTCAGTTTATGATGAAAAGCTACGAAAGCAACCAGGATACAAATATTGAAGTTATATGTGTTGATTTACAACATTTACCCACGCCTAAACTTACCTGCAACGTACAATATTACAAAAGAAAAATGTGGACTTATAATTTAGGAATCCATAACGTTAAAACTGGAACAGCCGTAATATAGGTATGGGATGAAACCATCGCTCAACGCGGATCGTGTAAAATAGCCAGTTTCCTCAGTCACTACTTGGAGAACTTGGTTAACAAGCAAGTGCGACAAGTTATAATTTTTAGTGATAACTGTCCGGGCAAAATAAGAACATAAACGTTGTTTTGTCTAACCTCCGCCACATTCATGCAAACCGCTTTGATCTTATTAAGCACGTTTTTTTAATGTCTGGGCATTCGATGATGGGTTGTGATCGAGATTTCGGTTCAATTAAATTAAAGATCAAGGACTGTGAAGTATTTTCAAAACAACACTATATCCATTTCATTGAACACACGAAAAAAAGAACAAATTCCAAGTTGTTAATGTCACGAGGGAAATGGGTAAGGATTTCAGCGTTCTTCAAAAAGCAGCAACTAAATCTCAAATATTGGGAGCTAACTTCAAGGATGGTAGAATATTCGAATTTTCAACAGTTTTTAAGATGGGCTTTAAAATTCAAATAGCATACAACATGGATATTTCTACAAATGTCATACTCCAAAAGGGACGAAAGAGACTTCACGATGTAACAAATTTTAACTTAGATAGTATAGAACTTCCTCTCAAATACCAGGGTGCCATCAAGGTTACAGAAGAAAAGAAAAAAAGACTTACAAGATCTTCTTGATTATGTACCCATGCCTCACAAGCATACTTTATAAGAAGCTATTAGTGGAGGAATTGATATAACTGAAGTCGAAGAAACTGTAGACGATGAAAATCAAATTGAGTTTAATAGAAGCTGTATTTGTGAATTTTGCAATTTATTCAACTACCACTAGCTCTCACAGAAACCTGTTAAAAAAACTAGGTATGATTATATTTATAGAAAAAAAAATATTGAACTTCTTTTCATTTTATTTCATAAAATCCTTGTAAATCTTGCAAAATCCTCTTTTATTTTCTATTAATAAAATAAAACTTGTTCGGTGCTACTAGAGTATGCATTCCACCTCAATGGTTTAATCTACCTCCGAAGGATTTGGATTTCGAAAACCCTGGGAAGGGATTACGGTGTAATTTGCATAATCATAAAGTTTATAAAATGTTTATTAGTACTTAGCAATAAATATTTTGCCTACAAAGGATGCCTTTCCTTATTGTGTTCAAACCCTTCTCAGAAAAGATTATGATTATCAATTTCCTTATTGTGGTAGAACGTGTTCACACTCCCAAATACCATCTTTACAGGTGAATAAAATCATAGGTAAAACGAATTATTATTTCAATTTTACAGGTTAATCGTTTGTCATATCAATTTACTATTTTGGTTGAGAATAAGCCGTAAAATTAAAATTATAATTCATTTTTAGTTGTTATGCGTTTTATTCACCGTAAAGATACACCGCATAATATAGTAGAAACGCGACGGTAGACCGTATTACTATCGTAGCACCACTTATTCGCCCTTACTATTTTAATATGTTCGTAAACTTAAACTCAGTTTTCCCGAAACCTGGTTTTTGCGGTTCGCCCTTACTCTTCCAGGCTCTTCTTCTCTCTAAAATTAATTGTCCAGATTTTAAGAATAGCGCCTTGTAGAAGATATCGTATCGAAACTTTTTTAAAATGTATCACCTTAGCTGATAAAATATATAATTAGGTTAGCCTATTTTTTTCCATATAATTTATTCACGAGGAATTTAAATACCACAAATCTTATCGGCTAAGACTAAACATCTTGTTTTCTGAGTATGCGATGATACCATTCAAAATTTACTGAAATAATCCGGTTAAAATTCAAAAGTAACGAGATAGACAAACAAAGAGAAAATGCCTATTTGAGTGTAAACAAAATACCGATATATTAAAAGTAACGAAGTAACAATAATAATTCTCGGTTTTTTATTCGGTACAAGATACATACAAGATCTATTAAATACCTTAGCATTATACAGTAAAACTGACAATGAAACGGACAATTGAACGATTTTAACATCACAGATAGTGAATGGCAAACACTCGAAAAAGTACATAAGTTTCTAATAAACTTTAAACTTTTGTCAACAAAACTTGGTAGAGAAAAATATGTTACATTATCACTAGTGATTGTATCATTCAATCTCTTGCTCGATAAAATTAAATCCATCGTAAAACAATTAGATGAGAAACATAATCGATCTGAAGTGGATAGAAGGCTCATTCTTGGTTTTCAAGCAGCTCGAGACAAAATGCTTAAACATTATAAGAAGAGCAACTGGATTTATTGTATCTCTTTAATTTTAGGCCCAAGGCATAAGGCTCAGACTTTTGACATGACGTTATGGGGGAAGCCAATTAAAACAGAAAGCCTGCGAAAATTTAATAAACTTTACAAAGAATGTAAAACTCTGCACCCAGTAAATAAATCTCTAGAATCACCAAGAAATGAAAAGAAAGTTTTTGAATATGATGAAGATGAAGACTTAATGGACTTTGAGAAACTGTATGAATGCTCATCGACTTCATCTGGATCTTGTCATCAAGGCTTAGATATTGACGAGTTGGAGGAGTACCTAAGTAAACCCAGAGTCACTAACTCGGAAGATATTTTAGAGTGTTGGAGGACGCATGAGACAGAATATGTGACTTTATCGAAGATGGCCCGTGATTTTCTTTAAATATCAGCAACTTCAGTTCATGCTGAGAAATTATTTTCTAAAGCATCGTTAGTAATTAGAAAACATAGAAATAAGTTAAGTGATGAGTCAGCCAGATCGTTACTTTGTATTAATTCTTGGTCAAAGGAATAAATATAAAGTATCAGTAATGTAAAAGTTTATTGTTTGTATTTTTTTTTTTAAATAAATGGCAAATTATATAACTATTTTATTCCATTTCGTATAAGGTGAGGGTCCACCAATCCCCTTCTAGACAAATAATGTTCTTTAAAATACAAAGTTTATGTCATTAATTTGGTTTTTTTGATTTTTATTTTTCGCAGATGATCAGGTAGTCATAGCGAATGATGAGAAAGACATGGACTACATGTTTAAAAATCTAAAGAATAAATATGAAACATGGGGCCTCAATATGAATATGTCAAAGACAGGGTATCTTAAAATTGGAGATGACGAAAAAGATCCGAAATTAGAAATTAGAAACACAAAAACATGCAATGAATATAAATATCTCGGCACTATAATATCTAAGGAAGACACTACCAAAAGAGACATCGAAAACAGGACGCAGCAGGGAAAAAAGCGGTTAACATTCTGAACTCTCTACAATGGTCTAAAGCTATTAGACAAGAAACAAAATTGACAATCTATCGAACCTTGGTAGAGCCTATTATGACTTATGGGGCAGAAGTTTGGCAGATCACGAAAAAAGATAGAAAAAGAATAAAAGTAATAGAAACGGATTTTCTAAGAAGAGCGTGTGATGTATCCAAAAAAGATCAATTATCAGGAATGAAGATATTAGAAGGAGAACAAATACTGTATATTCCAGTATAGATAGAATTGAAACGAGACAACTAGTGTGGTATGGTCATGTGAAGCTAATTCATATAATTCTGATATATATTCATATAATTCTGAATGACCAACTTGGGACAAACAGTTCTCCCCTCCTCAACCCATTTCATTAGAGACTATAAATTTGTAAACCCAAGCCAAAAAATAGATAACTTGAGAAAGGCAATCAGCCGAAACAGCTGTAGTGATAAGATTTAAAATAAATTTTGTGGAAGTTTGAAAACAAAGTTTTCAGTGTTTTATTGAGTTATCTTTGTTAGATATCTCACTAATTTTGTAATACCCACCATAATTTTTTTTCGTACCAGTACATAAAATAAATGTTTCCTTAGTTCCCTTAGGGTATTTAATATTTTGCTTAATCCATAAATTTTATATTCAAGCAAATAACGTAAGCAAATGCGTCTGAAAAAAAGTTAAAATGCCACAAAAACATTCCATTCGAACAACGACTAATAAAAAAATTTATTTAGTTTCATTTCAAAAATCCCTTTACAACGATATTTTTAGGGTGTTTTAGAAGAAGAATCCTTTAATTAACTGACTTGTTGTTTCGGTTGGCTATCTGAAAATGGTATTTTTGTTCATATTTTTGAAATGAGCATTAACAGATTAGTCTAGAGATTTTAATTAAGATAAAAGGTTATGAAATATTATGAGACTGATTTCGAAAAACTCAAAGAAGATTAAACACGGATGTTAGCATAATATTCCCTTTAGTGACTTATAATCTAATTAGGTCTGGAATATGGCAAAGAGTTCAAACATCTTTTCCCCGAATTACAAAATGTTGAATGCTCTTTGATCGGATGTTTTGGTGTTACAATATACAGAATAATGTTCATTCATTTTTATGTTGTTAAAATTTAATGAATCCCCCTGCTCCATACAGTTTTCATTATACAGAGTAAGAAAAAGTTGATTTCGGAAGATTGTGTGATGCAATTCGTAGAAATGTGTGGGGCAAAATATTAAAAAACTAATAAATATTAATACTGAAACACGTGTAAAATATTTCTAATAACAACTTAATACCACTGTACATCTTTATCAGTTTCGTTTCCTTGTACTGGTTAATTTTCACTAGTACAATCTATTTTTTTCTTTTTTTATATAAGTAAACGGCTTCTTAACTCTTTTTTTGTTTTTTATAACTAGCTATTCTGATTAATGAATGAGTTTCGATTTACGATTGATCTGCATTTTCGATTTCAAATCTTTATTGATAGTTCATCAAAGGAATTATTTATTGTAAATATTCAATTAAAAATTCTTTTTCTTACTCAAAATTATTGACCTAGTATAAGAATAATAATTTTATTTTCAAAAAATGCACATTTGTAAAAGATGCTGCTTTTATGGTCCACTTTCTGAAAATTACAATATTGAAACCCTCCCTGGCGCATTTCTGTCCATTTCGACTACTTCTACTACAAGTACTGACATACTGCCACCGCCACCCAAGCTTCAAAAGGTGATATATAAATACTTCCATTAATAGAAATATTAGTTTAGAATAAAAGAAACAAATAAGATATGGATCTACTAAACCTATACAAAGACTCGTTTTATCCGTTTTCCATAATTGAAGAAGGAGCTTTTAAAAAGTTTGCAGGGTGGATTCCTGGATATAAACTGCCAACAAGAAAAACTTGTTCATTAAGTCATGTTCATTACTTCAGGAATAATATATCAAATCTGGTTAAATTATTAGATCGCAAGTTGTTAAAAAAGTAGAAAATATCTGTATTACTACTGATCTCTGGACATCTGGAGTAACTGAGAATTACATCGCATTAACAGGACAATATTTAACCGAAAATTTAGAATTTAAAACAGTTTGATTAGGCTGCTGCCATTTTTCTGGAAACCATAATTCAGAAAACATCACTTTTGAAATTGATGAAATTATTAATCAGTGGGGTCTAAAACGAAAAATAAATTTTGCAGTAAATGATAATGCCTCAATTATGGTCAAAGCTATTAAAGATGTTTTAAAATGAAAACGTTTAAATTGTTTTCTATTTCCATAGTATCCGACGTAGTACAATTACTAATATCGGATTCTATTGTTTAGTTTAATTTTCAAGTTATAATAAATGTATTCTTTATTAGTTTGTTTGACTTCAGTAAATATACACATAAACGATAATAACCATTATGTTTGTTTATGTAGGTACTCTCTTACTTGAAACTACTGTTAACACTAGAAAGTCGGGCTTAGCATACCTACCTAGAAAGCCCGAAGGGATCATTTTGGTCGTAAGTTCCTAAATCAATAAAAACCAAGTTTAGAATTAACTATTTATTTAGTAATAAACAAAAAATAAAAATAAACAGTTTTAAGAAATTATATAAACAACTCTTGACGATAGAATTTGATTTAATTTTTTAGTTTTATTTTAAACATTTGGAACACCATACATTTTGCAGTTTTTGGCATTTGCCACACATTGCCTTGTTACAGCCGTGGGACTAATTGGAAGTAGGATTTCCTTTACAAAACATTTTTAACTAACATTTTTTTCTTTTTTGGCTAGTGACAGTGCTGGTAGTTGGTAAATCCGGTGGTGCTGGGTATAGTACCAGATTTCGGGAGGCAAGGTATGGAGCCCGTAATTCTTCACACAGCTGAAGAATAAACTTACGACGACTGATTATGCTTCCAGTAACTTCTTTATAAATATTCCATGCATTTATTTCTCCTAAGTCAAGAATGTTATAAAACACGTGTATTGGCCATCGTCTTGAAGAAACTTTTGTAGTATAAAGACGCACCATTTGGTCCACTACATCAACCCCGTATTTTGTTTTATTATAAAAACTTACTGTTTGAGGAAGTTTTTTTCCATCGACAGCAACATCCACTGATTGATGTAATGAGCTCAACAAAAGCACATTTTTGTGACTCTTTCCTTGGTATGCAGTAAGTATTCGTCGCTCTGGAATATATGGGTAACATATAATTCTCCATTTTTACTCTTTACGCTAAGAGGAACTTTCTTTCTGTTGCGATTCAAAGTACCCACAAGACTTGTTGATTTTTTTTGCCATGCCTTGGCCAATTTTAACGATGTAAAGTAGTTATCTGTCGTAACAATGTTCCCTTTCCCAGATGATTTTTCATTAACCGCAAAACAACATGTTCACCAACACTTGTATCTTTCTTGCGTAGATGATTATTGCCAGTATAAGGGTAACCATTTACAATATATTTTGATTCCACGCATGTCAAAAGCCAAAATTTTATGCCAAACTTATCCGGATTATTTGATATGTACTGTGTGAACGGGCACCTGGCTTTAGAAGGCAGTAGTTGTTCGTCCACAGTAAAGTTTATTCCCGGTTTGTAACATGCACCACTATTTTCTATAACTCCATTCCAAACCTCAGAGGCTAGAGCAAATTTGTCGGTTTTCAATCGTTCAGATCTCGTTTGCTTTATGTCAAATCTGAAATATTTTATAATATCCTTGAATCTGTCTCGTGGCATAGTTTGCCTAAAAAACTGAGGACCCCATACTGTTGACCACAAGCTGTTGGTTGGGAAATTTTTGGCGGCGTAGACTCCTCTTGCCTACATAGTAAGAAGCGCAGCCTCCAGTTCTTCCAAAGTTATTTTCCATGTGTCATTTTTCAAACATCGATGTGCTTCTGCAATAGTGCATTCTTTTATATGACGTTACATGCTGTCGTTGATTATTAGATGCCAAGCACTTACCACACAATTGTTCCTCCGTTTCTTTTTGCATACGACATAGGACCTGATTCCTCTCGATAAATGTTGTGCTGAGCGCGGCGTCCTGTAATGAGCAAACATTCAATGAATATGAAGATACTAAAAATCATAATCTTCCAGGAACTGATCCAGAATCAATAACTTTTTACGTTGTTCCGTCTTTAGATTGTTCGGTGTCTCCGATTAAAATAGTTTTTTCTTGTTGATCTCTTTTTCTCTTGTGACTTGGCTTAGATGCACTTAGATTCACGATAAAATTAGCTGACTCGTGATGTTGAGTTATAGAAGCAATGTAGATTGTACAAGACTCACGAATAAATTGGTGAGTCTTGTACAATAAAACTTTCTAACTGCTCTGAAGCATCAGAGTCACTTGAATCATTATTTTGTGGTGGTACGTATT